CATTTGGGTCTAGGAAAGAATTGATTGGAAACATAGTTATTTTTGATAAAGTTCCTTCTATAATTTCAGTTATTGGTGGAAAGTAGCAGTAAATTATAAACATCACACAAGAAGAAGATTGTAAAGTTGATGAAAATCTTCCGAGTGAAAAAAACGAATATAAATATGGAGAAAGTGCTCCGAAAACGAATGAAAGAGAGCGTTGGCATCGCATTCCTCTAGGATGAGCGCGTCTCACGTGAATGGCAGAGCGCACCACGTAATCTAGTGAACTTTTAAGCTTCATTGTTTTGCTTAAGACAGTTTCTATAATAGTTTGCAAATTACGATTTTTTGCCAATTGCGAGTTTTTTGCCAAATGCGAATGTAAGCCTCAAATATATGAAATTGCCAAAAAGAGAGAACGGCGCTTCCTATAACGATTGCTCGTTTTTTTTTCGATAGAGATAGCGCTACTAGCGAAAGACCCGGGCATGGCAGCATTAGCTTCGAAGTTTTGCAGATGACAAGTACAAAGGGTGAGCCCTAAGCCATCAGATGTAAGGTACAACGCTAAGCCGCAGTTAATTAAATTGAATTCCTGGGAAGTTAAGCCAAGGAAGTAATTTTGTTCAAACTATGTTTATATATTTCGATTAAGGCTTCCAGAATATTCTTTGTCCCAATCGACAGCTATTTTGTAGGCTGGTGATCATTCGTCAACGAAAGCTCTAAATTAAGCGCACGATGACATCTAAGTTCACATCTCAAGTGTATAATAAAATGGAACGTAAAAAAAGCGAAAATTGCGAAGAAGGATGTTGGTTTTGTTTTTTTGAGATGACTAAGAATTTCTCGAGGGTTCCATTATTTTTTGCACCATATAACATGACCACAAGTGATGAACCCTGCTAATCATCCCCTAACTTCGTTTGAGCAATTGGACCGCTGATTGCGAAAGTCACATCCATAGGTTTAAACACGTTAATGTACTAGGGAAACTTCGTCATTCAATTTTACAATGACTGGTTAAGGAATTTCGATAGAATTAATTTCTTGGGAAGTGGGAGATACTGACATTCTTTCGGTGACATGCTAGTACTCGTGACTGCTATCTATCATGACCCTGAAAATGCTATTATCCATTGGCATCCATATCACCTGTCGGGTTACCTTATTTGCGCAGTATGGTTATATTGGTCGCGCAACCCCTTACATCAAGGTACTCACCGTAAATGAAGTCGATATAATTTCTGCAGACAACGTTTGAGAAGTAGCGTAATATCTTCAAACTTACTTAGGATAGCAGGTTGTGGTGCCCACGAACAGATGTATACATTCGACACACTATCGGCAAGCATTCTTGTGAACTGCAATGAGCACCTTTTCTTGGAAGCAGTGCTTATTCCTCCTCTTAGTTTTGTTTGATAAAATTTAAAAACCCTCAAAACAAAGGTTCAGAACTTTGATGGAAGATCAGGGAAAGTATTTGAAATTTTTCAATTACAAGAGGGCGCAATAACAAAATGTAAGCAATAAGATCACTTTTTAATCTGATAGCGTATTGACGCTGCATGCATCTGAGGATTATTTTTCAATGGCGCCACATCTCTTTTGTAGTTACAGCTTTCTGCTATGCTCCTCTTTCAATTGTATATGCTATGTTGCATACTTTGACCCAATTTTCAACCTTGCCCAAATTTGTGGGAAGAGCAAAACATCTTCACGAAAACCTACAACCTTATCAGGCACTTATTGATTGTCACTTTGTCAAAATCATATATCACATTGAAGGGAAGGTTATTCTCACTTTGTCGTATTTGTCTGCAACCAAAATGAAATGGTAATCTGGAGTTTGCTTGACCGCATTCATCACCGTAGTCATAGCAGTAGGAGGCAGTGAAGTAGTGTTGACTAGTGTCCCTAATGAAAAATAGACAACTCCTTTGGCGCCTTTTTCGAGCTCATGGGCAAAGGGCTGTAAAAGAGATGAGTGGATCACGCTCGTTCTATAATGAATTAGAAAAATAGTTACCTCCTGTAAAGTATCACTTATAAGATTTTCGTGAAACCCTATTCCGCCTATATGAACGACATTAGGAAGAGTAGGACGTGGTATTTCGATAAATTCGTCTGTAGCCACAAATATCATATCAGAGTTGGAAGCAATTTCAGCCAAATTGGGAAAATCTGCCCTGAAAAGTTTCCTTGCAATATAATCCTTAATGAGTGAGTAGATCTTCTCAAATTAATCGAAACAAGTAAGAGACAGCTCGGTATGAGCTAGTCAAAAGGCACAATGTGCTATCTGGAGGAAGCACGAGGAAAACTACTCTGATCCGTCATCGAATTAGCTCTAGGGTTGCCGCACATATCCATTTGGTTATTAGAGAAGACTTGCTATCAAATGAGTATTGCAGACATCGCTAATATTTCCAAGCAATGAGCCCTGTTAACCCAATGAATATTCACATGTAAAAAAATTAATTTTTCTACTTCTCATGATGATTTAGCACATCCGGGCATAAAGCTTACTTTTTGGCCAACTGAAAGTGATCAGCATCGAGGCTAAATACTGCTTGATTACTCACCCATATTTCCTTCTGAAAACCTTATTTGTATCTTCAACACCCAACTCGGAAAAGTAGATGTACAAGAAAGTGTAGTAAATATTTTGAACGCGTTCAAAATAGCTCATTCGATGGTTGGAATCGGTGCCGATCAAAGAAGGTATGTATGAGGATGGCTGGGGCATTCCCAACACCCAGGCCATATGATCACTGATAGGGCAACTAAAATAAATGAGTTAAGTTTTCTACTACAATAGCTAAGTAAATACTTGCCTTGATACCCAGAAGTGTGATCTGATGCCAAGCACATGGGCAATGCCGTTTCCGCATAGGTTTATCTGTTCTCCAAAATAAGCATCAAATTTTTCTAAGCGCAATTCTTCCATAAGAACTTCTCGATTTATTAGATCTTAATATCACCAACTGGATGAAAAGTTTTACGCTGTGGAAGGTGCCTCAGCAGTAAGTCACGGAAAACTTGCCGTTGCACAGCCTGTTAAACGCTTTTTGGTATTGTAGAAGTCCCTGCTGTGCTCTGTACTGTGAGATCTCCACAAACGCAGTGCCGGAAAATGCTGAATATTGTTCAATTTATATAGTCAGGACTGTTCTAAGCTTTCTTTATCACTGCTTAGCATTATTTATACATTCCGTAGACATTTCCAGAAAGTTGTCTTTTCAATGTTAGAAAGACTACTAGAAGTGTGGTTCACATAATCTTGTTGCAGTTACACAGCTAGGTGGTTCTAATATTTTGTTTTTTTTATTTTCTTTTTTTAAATTTCTTTGTATTTTACAATAATTTTGTGCAATGACCAAATATATATATCAATATGCACAAAGCCTCTGAATTCTTCTTAGTGCTGGAAGAGTAAACTTGCACGTGTTTTCAGATGTTTGCCTCATCGGTTTCTTCGTCTTCAAAAAAACTTTAAGGAACTACATGTAAGCTCGTTGATATTTTATAACCTATTGCCTTTATGGCAAAGCTAAAGGTTAGAAAAAGGAAAAGGTTGTAACATATTTGTTAATCTTCTAGCCATTTGGAGTAACGACAACAGCATAGGCTCAGAATGAGGGCAATCCTTAAACAATTGTAGCACCACAATGCACCACTTTACATCGACATTCAAGTAAGAATGTAAGTGTAGTAAAACAAAAAGTTTTATGGAGGTCGGTATAGCCCAGCATAACTTATTGTAAAGAAGGTTATTTGACTAAAACGAGTGAGATTCGATGGGATTACAAAGCTGCCATTTAGAACAAATGATTCGCGAACAATATTTTGGCCAACTGGCACAGCAAAAGAAACCTACGACCGAAGCTGCAATAGATCAGTGCTGTGCATTGCGGGAAGAAAGCTCTGTATTTGAGCAGTTGTAAATGCCATCACAAACCTTGTAGTATATCATTCAAAAACGAAGGGAATCCAAAAATCTGCCATCTGCGAGCAATCTTCACAGGATTGACGGTATGAGATATATTCAAAAAATCCGGCTCCAGCAATATCTGGAATGCACTTTTAATAGCCATTCTTTTTGTCCAAAGCACTCAATTCGCGCTTCTCACAAGGGAGGGTACTAATCAAAATGGCGATTCGAAAAACGATATATACTGGTAGATACAAATATACTGTCTTTTGTATCTACAATACATTTCCCTAAAAGGAATGTATGAAAGCTTTTTTCAGCCGGGAAAGAAGTTGCATAGCGTTAAAATTAATGCTATAAAGCAGCAATTAAGCGTGAAACGTCAAACAGTATTACTACCAATATGCAGTTTGCGGCACTGCTTTTGGATCAAATTAAAATTTTAACATTTTATCCAGGCCGTGTACGCCATTCCGACAGAAAAGAAACTTCATTAATTCTATCAGAAGAACGCTTGGCATACGCGGAAATCAGACATTTGGAATCAGCGTACCGTGATCTCATTGTGTACCATCGCTTTTCAAAACGCCACCTCGAGTAAGTATCCTGCCCTTGTACGTAACACAAGAATCGCAAATTTATGCTTTCTGGGGTGCAAGTCCCACCACGTCATGTCCTGCCACGGCCAGTTCGTCAGCAATCCTTCCATTTGAGATCATATGAGAACGACTAATTACTGGGGAGAACACCAGTATTTTGTAGGCCCCGACTAAAGCAAAGCAGCAAAAAACTTCAAAAAGGAACATTGTGGATTGAGACAGAAGAATAGGTTGCAGTGCGTCCTTAGTTTGGAGCTTTCAACGAAAGATTGATGCAGATGAATCCCCTAAAAATTTTGTGAAATCGTTGATATAGATATGAATGTATGGAAAATGCGCAACATAACAAATCGCTTTGCGCTTGAATGATGTGGAGAAAAGAGAAGTTCAGGAAGAAGGAGGCAACTGTTGACTTACTGATCGCCTCGCTTACCTTCACCGACGTCTTCTAATCTAATCTCAGGTCACCTGACCACAATATGATAGCGTTATACTGTTGTTTATAGGCAGGAACGCTACAAAGTTGATACAGTGAAGGTCTACAAGATGGCAAAAGTAAACATTTTAGTCATAGGATCAGAATAATTGTCCGCTGCATGCTTATCACATATTGGAGTGAACGAATATTTATTCAACCATTCGAGTAATATATTCAAAAATGAATAGCTTGAAAAATCGAATATTTGAGACTCCTTATTCTCGAATAGTTAATCCGAATATTCGAAAGTTTTCTTTTCGAATTCCAAAATTGACTGTTTGAAATATTCTGTTTTCGAATAATTGGAGAATTTGGTATTCGGAACTTTCGATTTTTAGTGATATTTGAATAAATTTGATTACTTGAATACTTGAATGCAATACCGAATGGTATGTCGAAAACTTAAATTCATAACTTGTAAATGTATTTCTTGCCAAAACCGTATGAAAGAAGTGGGTCCTCGTAACTTTGATTTCAATTTTTTTCGAGTTGAATTTATACTGAGTGGAATAGTCGCCATTTTTATTGGAAGCGTTATTACTAAATAATTACTAAGGCTCCGGCAAGCACCAAGTTTCTAAAATTTCCCTTTATTTTCTGTGGGAGCCTTTATAAGGGTTACACATCTCAGAGATTCACCGATCTAGACGACTTGTCGGACGCGCGTTGCAATGTCTAAAACCACAAAAGCTTTGTGTTATATCAGATGCGAGGATGACGCTGTAGTGGACGTTTGTGCGACTAGAGAACTTTACCATAGAGCTTTACCGGGAGA